TATAAAACTTTGTCTATACTCTAATAAAAAGTTCCCAGACCAAAGAGGTCACCTTAATACCAAAAAAAAAAAAAAAAGAATAGGTGGGCAATATAAGAAATAAGCTTCATTAATAATTACTAATTATTAATAGATACTTAGTAGAGTTGTAAAGTTTGTGAAGTTTGCCCACCTATTCTATAAAACATCCTAAATTATTTTAATTTTTAATAAAAATTATAAAAAAAAAATTGTTTTTAAAAAAAAAATTTATTAAAATTAAATTTTTACAAAATTTTGTAAAATACAAAAAATTATTAAAATAAATTTTAAAGCCATGAATAATTTAGAATTAGTTGCCCACTATTTAAAGAACTTATAAAATTTTCTAAAATATAATTATTATTTAATATTAGTAAATAACTAAACTTTAAAATATATTAAATCTAGTACAAAGTACTAGATTTAGTACAGGTAAATCCAATTCATTAAAAAAATACTGTATTTAATTTAGTTTAAATTTTATATTCTTGTATATAATATACTATATAATACAGTATATATACGTATATGGAAGTTTTAATAAGATAAATATAAAAAAAATTTAAAAAACAACAAATAATCTTAAGGCTGCTTTAACTAGTTTGCAAAATTTCTAATAGTTAATTTTAAAAAAATAAATAATTTTAAATTCTTAAAGTTGTAAACTATATAATAAAAAATATTCCAGTATTCGATCTTCGGTCTTGGGTTCGATCAAGTGAATAGTTTTTTACATTATATATATTAAGAGTTAGAAATTTTAGATATGGTGTTACGGCGTATCCCAAACAAGCTAGCCTTTTTATACTCCGAATATATTTTTGCTGATTTGGTTTTTTCAACTTTTTCTACATCAACTATACTCTAACAGATAAATCAATAATTCTTGTTATGGTTTGTATGCATGCTTATGATTATAAAATCGCAAACATATATTTCAACTTGATTTTATTAAAGCAGGTAAAACAACAAAAAGTGGATTCGCAGCCGTGCCATCGAGAAGCATGTGCTATTCAAGAATGTTTGCAAAAAAATAATTACCAAGAAGAACGCTGTAAAGATGTGATAAACAAACTGTTTAAGTGTTGCGAAGCGTTATTTAAAAGTGGAGGAGAATCCGCTAGTTGTTCAAAAAAGATGTCTAAAAGTCATTAAACTATTTCTCGTCGCTAATATGGGTTAATAAATATAATGTATAACATCAAATATTCGGTCAAATTTTAAGAATACGTTGCAGAGGATGAACGCTTTGGCGTGCAGGAAAGTACGTACGTCGTATGTACATTTTTTTTTTTTTTTTTTTTTACACACACGCACGCATGTATTGTAAGTGCGTAGGCAATTTCTTTCTATTAGAGAACAAAAAAAAAATTCCAATTGTAGTTTGTCATAAATCACGGTTCTTACAGATTAGATTAGAGGACATATTAGATTAGAGGTTGAATTCTATCAACTTGTAAAATAGAAGGTCCGAAGGATTGATTTTTCCAACCAACCAATCAAAATCGAGAAGACTGATCTCCATTAAGCAACCAATCAAATTTCGTAATTTGTACACACCTTCGGACAATAAAAGACATTCGATTTCAACTATGTGATTAATCCAAAAAATTAAGTGAACACAGAATGCCATTTCTTTGACATTATGCATATAGGAGCAAAGACATAAATAGATTATGCGGTATCGCTCGGAGCACGTCTCAAGATGCGAATTATGTGCAGGAGCAGGTTTCTTTCCCTGGTACTTGCTGATTTCAGTCGAAATCGACAAAGTCGCCCCTAAAATCTTTGTTTTTATAAATATATTTATGATTTATACATATAATTATAGATTTGTATCAATTAAACTAACGTACGTACGTACGTCTGTACGTATTAGTATTGTATGTAATTCAATCAATTTATATATATTTAGTTAATATTTACGGCATCTTGTGTGGCTGGAATATCTACCATATAAAAGTTCCAGATTATTGTTTAAGACAACGTTATAATAAACATAAGTATTGAGATTGGAACCGAATTTATTATTTAAATCCAAATCTATTTAATTAGTGATCTTCAACTCGGATATAATCACTTTAATTGGTCAAATTGGACAAGAGATGATAAAAAAACCAGCGCCAGATTTATATAGCATCATTGTGTGTACATCCGTACATGCGTGTTTATTTGCTTGTTTTATATACTAGATAACTACCTAAAAACAATGGATTTAATATAATATTTATATATATATTATACGGAGAGTTTAAAGGTCACTATCTGTTATTATATCTTGAATTACGTAGAACCTCCGAATACTGTGGTCGATCCAATCAATTTAATTCCGTATATACAGTATATATATCGATATTCTAATATTAAAACTCGATTCCAAAGGGCTGACTAACATCACTACTTTTGTGTTATAGATAATATGACATTGTAAAAAGCTCGATTTAAATCTGAAGAACAAATTTGGTTATTTCTACATAAGTATATAAGTAAAGGTGCTGGTAAGATAAAATTAAAATGGTGAAATAGTTTCACCACTATTGGTGAAACTGGTGAAATTAATTTTATCAGCTAGAAAAAAAACTTTCCAGAACGATCAGATTTTATGATCAAAATATAAACTTGTTAGTCATTTAATGAACAATTCAAATAACTTTTTTATGTTATAAAGCCTAGTGAGCTCTATAAAATAAAAAAAAACAAGTTATTTAAATTGGATTATTGAATACTACTATAATAAAGTTATTTTTTTGTTTATAAAATTTATATAGTTTGAAAAATCATGTTTTTATTATACGTGGGTTGAATGAAAAGTTTTGTTGTGAACAACTCTTCCCGACGATCACCTGGACCAAAATTTTCCATTAAAGAAAAACCAGAACTACTTGTTGGAGAGTCATGGCCTATACAGTGGTTTGTCTAGAGGTCAACTACTACTCTTGGGGACTTCTCTAAAAAAGGACATTCAGCATGCAAGCTAGGAGCATTATTATACAAGATAACTGGTAGGTGGTGCCTTTGTATAAAAAATCTTGGTGGAGTATGGGTGGGGAGGCCCAACTCCGTCGACGAAGCTGTTTGGTCGTTACTTCAATGAAGAACACAGAGGAAACAACAAGAAGCTCTGCTCTTTTAACACACTCATTTAAAAATTTTGAAAGTACTTGCAACTCTCTCCTCGCATTTTTTCCTTCCATCGGTTTTTTCAAAAATTTTTTTCTCAAAAGTGGGGATTTGGCTTATTCCCTCCAAAAGATCAATATTGTTTACATCTCAAATCTGGAAAGCCGAGTAGATTACAACCACGTGTTCGACGAATATGGTGCTACTAATTTGGATAGGTTCCAAGTTCTAGGTCAGAACCAAATATTTCAGAGTCGATCATATAGTCACAAAGCATTTTATTAGAGATATACAAATGTTGTATTTGTTATATAATTTTTATACCTGTCTGGCATGGGTTATAATAGTGTACTTTTCTTTTTTCTTTCGTCTATTTGTACTGCTTCTTAATAGAGGTAGTTCCCCCTTTGTCAGCTCTCGGGCTTTTCTCTTCGATTTTCTTTTTTTACATTTTATTGTACCTCCTTTTATTTTTCCTTTAAAAATTCCTCTTTGTTCTATCTGTTTTTTTTTAGTTAGTTTTTCTTTTTGTTTTCTTGATACTATTGGTGGTTTTGTACTAGATAT